TTGCACAGCCGTACAGTGAGGCAGCGCAGGAGCTGATCCGGCGGCGGAACCGGGGTGCTTTGCTGTCGCTGAGGCGGTTACGCTGCGGTTAGAGAGTCGTGGTTCCCAGCAGGCACCCGGGGGCTGCGGTGCGTGTGTGTTAGCAAGGCAGCTCGGTGTCACGGCTGGATGAAAACGTCGCTTAAGCGTGGTGCTGCCTTGGCCTGCAGCTCCTTGAGATGTTGCTCACAGGGAGTGGGTGTGAAAACCAAAATCGTTTATGGTGCCTTTCTGTTAGTGCAGTTTGTCAAGGCCGTGTTTAGCTCATGAGAGTTTTCTGCCTCGGGAGGCCCTGTGGATTTAGCAGAGCGGGTAGCTTCACTGGCGTTGTAAAATATCCCTGACTGCTGTTGTTAAGATTATAAACATTTCCCATAGGCCTGTTCTCTCTTGTAATGCCTTTGCTTGTGAGAGGTGCTCGGTGAGGGAAGAGGAGAAGCATCTGTAGTATCCTGCGAAGAGCAGCTTCTGGTCCTGCTGGAAGATAAAGCCGTCCACAGGGTGGTTCTGGGATTTTAGTTCAGACTCTCCTGTAATATCAGTGAGAAAAATGCCCTGCAGAGCTCTTCTCTACCAAACGGCTCTTGGTGCAGCCGCAGTAGGGTTAGAAGCGATGTTTAACTTTGTGTGGAGTTAAGTCATTCACATTCCAGTTTCTTGCAGTCCCGCAGGCCGCTAGGAACATTCCTTACTTCCAAACGTGTTTAGCAATGCAGAGTTATTCCTCGATGTGTTTTTATAGGCATTCCCCAGCGCTGCCTCTTGGCTCGGCGTTTATAAACCTGCTCAGGGTCATGGCTGAGGCAGTAAGAGCACCGGGAGGACTTGTTTTGGTTCCCATGGAGTGGCCTTCGTCGGTGCCTCGCTGTGCCCGGCCCTGCAGCGGGTGCCCTTGCCAAGCCGACAAATATTGTCTCCCACCCTGAGAAGCCGAGGAATTTGTCTGTGGGACGGGTTAAACCAGGCCTTTGTGTGTGGAAAAAGTCAGTGATCTGGGGGCTGAGGAGGAGGAGGGTAGGCAGTGCTGCCTGCCATTTGGGTTGCTGGTTGGAATACTTAATTCTGACATAGCATTCGTTAAGCACGGGATTGCAGAGCAATTTGTTAAGGTGTGTTAGGATTGTTATTCCCAGGGTAGGTGAGGAAGTTGAGAGAGAAGGGAGATGGATTTTCCAACTCAGCCACGTGAAAATAAACCTAGTCTGGGTTTGCAGGCTGCCGCGCCTTGCTTTTGCCTCCTGGTGCTGGTACCTAGCATGTTACTCAATATTACTTGAAGTTCCTTCTCTTGTTTTCAGCTGTCACTTAGGCTGCTTGGATTTAGTGTCTTGAGTGACTGCAAATGCCAGAATGAGAGATGTCTTCCTGTGCCACCACCTCTTCGCCTTTGGAATAGTGGCTGTAGCTGTGGGCAGCAGTACAGAGGGCTGTAAATAAGCGTACATATGCATAAATAAGCGTACATATACATTTCTGTTACAGCCGGAAGAGGAGCCAAAAGAGGAAGCAGCACCAGCCAAGCCTGTGGTGGGAATTATCTACCCTCCTCCGGAGGTCAGGAATATTGTCGACAAGACTGCCAGCTTCGTAGCCAGGTAAACGACACTGGTGACGTCTCGTGTTTCCCAGGATTTTCGTGCCTCTCCTCTTCCAGTGCTGATGTCTGCACAGCTCCAGAAACTGCAGCGAGTCACAGTCCTGTGAATTTACACAAAGGGTTTTAGGGATTGAGTCTGTACCAGTGAGACTGTGGAAAAGAAACAGCGATGTTCTACTTAACAGGTGTAAGACATGCTTTGCTAGAAGAGTTATGGTAGTAAATAAAATTCTTGGCAAAATGTCCAGCGTGTGCTGCAATAACCAGGTAACGGTTCCTCTTCCAAGTGATCCGAAGGCGAAACAAAATTCCGGGTAGAAGGGGAACTTTGTTACAGGTGCCCTGTTGCATGGTGGAGCCAGGAGGAGCCATGGCTGTTTTACAGCATGTGGGCACATGGTAGGTGATGAACTTTGCAGTGCAGGGTTACTCGCTGGCTGGTGGAGCCCTGAGAAGTCCCACTCTGTTTGTGCACAGCGTGGTGAGCTGTGCCAGTGGCTGGGGTGTGTGTCCATCCATGCCTCTGTCGCCTCTCCCCTCGGCAGCAGAGCAAGAGACGTGCGTTCCTCCAGAGAGAAGGCTGATCCTCCCCTAGGCCAGGTGAGCTGCCCGTGATGTCTGTGGGACGTTTTCCCTGTTGACTGCAGCAGATTGATTAGCGCGAGTCCAGATGCCCAGTGGAGGGGAGGAGTCTGAAAGTTGAATAAATTTCACTCATTTGGGCTTCTTCCATTTGCCTAATGTCGCCATTCTGCAAGTGCAAGCGGTTGGTGCCGTGTAGGCCGTTTTTCTCTATTGTTTTTAATGCGCAAGTATTTCTGGCTGTCTTACCACGACATGAGGACTGAGGGGACCGGAGCTTGATGTTCTGGCAGTGTACGAGTAGCACAGGAGGCAAACACCCCTCAGCTGGCTGTGCCAGTTCTTAACCCTGACGGCATCCAGACAGGCGGAATGCTGTGTGCTGTCACCGCACTGCAATGGGGTGGTGGTTGCTGTGGGTTTAAGGCAATTACTGAAAGCTGGTCTAGTCACAGGCACTTATTGTGTAGCCGACCTGTGAGGCGCTGCCAAGGAGCCCTGGCTTCCTTTGAGGATCAGGAAGGGGCTGTGTTTATCCTTCGGTATTGTGGGACCTTGTTTGGAAGGGGCAGAGTGTCTGAACAAGACCTGAAGGCACCCAGAGAACATGAAGAGGAACGTGCTGTGGCAGCCACTGGTTTTCTCCGGCCGCCCTGTGGTCCATGGCTGTGCTTTGGGTGGGAGGGGTGGGTGTTGCCTGAGCTGAACCTGGGGCTCTAGTAAACGCAGCGCTCTGGCGTGGCGGTCTCTGCACAGGCTGATGGCTGCCTGTTTTGTTCCTTATATGAGCTTTCTGGAAATGAAACTAGTCTGAAAAGCCTGTTAATAGAGCAAACAGAATTGGTCCAGTAAGTGACTTGTAAAACTCATCCAATAAATTGTTTCATCCAGTAAACGGCCGTTTGGTTGTGCGTAGCCAAAGGAGACTGTGAACACATGTGAGTGTGAGTTTTTAACTGTCTTAAATACTCGCTGTGAAGCGTTACAGACTCAATTAGGACAAATGCCTTTAACTTGTGTGTACACAGCTGGCTGCTATGTTGGATGTGAGTGAGTGACAGGTAAACTCCTTGTGTAGAGGAGAGAGAATTGAGGGGCTGATCCACCAGCACGTCTTACTGTGAAAGAAACAGACGTTTACACTTGAGTTGATGCCTATCTGTCTGAACAATGTATCTTTTTCCTCCCCAGAAATGGTCCAGAATTTGAAGCTCGAATTCGTCAGAATGAAATAAATAACCCAAAGTTCAATTTCTTGAATCCCAACGATCCTTACCATGCATACTACCGGCACAAAGTCAGCGAGTTCAAAGAGGGTAAAGCACAGGAGCCCTCGGCTGCTATTCCCAAGGTCATGCAGCAGCAGCAGAGTGCTCAGCAGCAGCTTCCGCAGAAGGTGAGTGTTCCTTCTCACGCTGGTCGAGAGCTTGCCTTCGAACCGTTGGTGTCACGGCCTGACGTCAAGCGGGAGGTCTGAAGGACCAGGCGAATGGAGGAGTTACTTAGCATTTGCAAAGAAGACAGCACGGAGAGACTTGGAGTTTAATGTCTGGGACTTGTTTTGATGCAGATGTGCATCCCCCACATCCTGGTAACTCAAAGCTGTGCGTGAAACTCAAAGTTACACCGTTTAACTTGGTCTGTTTTACTTGTGTTTAGTTGCTTATTGACTGACATGGTGCTTGCACTAGTGATCGCTCGGACTGTGTGAGTTTGGGACTCCCGCCATAGGCGAGTCTTTGGAATCCCTTGGAGTTCAGTCTGGGCTTGTTGTGTACACTGTTGTGTAGAAATATTTCCTTTTTTTCTGCTGGAAGGATCAACTTCCCCTTGAAATGTGGAGCACAAAATGTTGCTAGTCTCATGTAGCTGTGCCGTGGTGTGCACTGGATGGAGAAAGGGCACTGACTGCGTCCGGGTCGTTTACGTGCTTTGCACGGCCAGCGGTCACTCGGTGCGTTACTGACATCCTGGAGGATTATAGCAAAGTCTTGGTAGCTTCCAGCTTTGTTAGCTGTGGGAGCAAGATTTGTTTTATCGTAGGCCTAAATACAGACGTCCAGGCACATCCGTGGGTACTGATTTTTCTCATCCTTGCAGCTGCTGGGATATCTAGGCTGATGTTGCTTTCCCACAACAGCTGAAGGAAAAATGGGCTTTCCCAAGTGTTTGGTGACAATTTCTTTCCTCGGTCCCTGAGCCGTCTCCTTGCTGCTCTGCAGGTGCAGGCCCAGGTGATCCAGGAGACAGTCGTTCCGAAAGAGCCACCTCCAGAGTTCGAGTTCATTGCAGATCCTCCCTCAATCTCGGCCTTTGACTTGGACGTGGTGAAGCTGACGGCACAGTTCGTGGCTCGGAACGGGCGGCAGTTCTTGACTCAGCTGATGCAGAAGGAGCAGAGGAACTACCAGTTTGACTTCCTTCGTCCCCAGCACAGTCTCTTTAACTACTTCACTAAGCTGGTTGAACAGTACACAAAGGTACTCTTGGCAGTTTACCTGTCCAGGCGATTCCTTCAGCAGCAGTACTGATTTTTGAAGAGTATTGAAGCCTGACAAAAGAGCCAGACTAGCAATACGTGCAGGTCTAGGAGTCCGTCCTTTAAATCGCGCTCTTTAAGTAGAGTGGATCTCTCGTTTGTTGTTGGTAGTGTGCAGCACTGAACACACTGTACTGTTGCTTAAATGTACCAGGCACTGTTGTAATAGGAGTAAAAGTTGTGGGTTTTTAAATCCGGAGGGTGTTGGAAGGCCAAGAGTGAATATTTTCAAGTGTGAGTGTGAGCAAGAAGTAGCAAGAGGGTTGCAATAGAATAAATGGAACATCCCCCCAGGGGTCTGCTGATATTTTTATCAGTGTGGAAAGAAAATAACTGCTTTTAAGGAGGCTTTGGCAAAAAGAATTGTCACCGACTGTCATGCAAAATATGTTTCAGATCTTGATCCCACCAAAAGGCTTGCTCCTCAAACTGAAGAAAGAGGCCGAAAATCCCAAGGAAGTCCTAGATCAGGTATTACACGAAAAATCTGCAAAATTGCCAAAGCATTTCAGTTATGTTTTCATTTTTTTCTGTTTGCACATATCTGACTTACTGGCAGCAAACACAACTACACAGAAAATGAAATGGGTGTGTGCCCTGTAGTCCCTTGAAGACAGGGTGCTCGAGCTTGCCTTCAGACCGCTAGCCAGCGTACCTGCGGGGGGTCGTTGGCCTGGGGCAGCGCAGAGGCAGAGATACGGCACAACTCCAGTTCCGAGCGCTTTACAAGTAGAGTGTTTCCCTCTCGGACAACTTCACTGCCGCACCTCAGTCACTGATGGTCCTTCCCAGCTGTACTTTATTACGTTGACTTCTGTCTTTGTCACAAAGACTGCTTTTGCTTTGGGAAGGTGACAGTACAGGGTTGTAGTGAAGCGCCTGAAGTATTTGCTGGCTGTGAATCTCCAGTGATACCCGAGTCACATCGTAGCTGGGTGGCTTGGTCGTGGCTCAGGAAGTCTGCAGTTCAGCTTTAGGAAACCGCTTTACGAAGCCGGTGCAGTACATTACTCAACAGGCAAACCTGTAGTTTCTAAATGAAATACAGATATTTCTTTGTTGTGCCAGGCCTCGGAAGCAGTGCTTGTGTAACTGCCCTGGAAGGGCGGGCAGCCTGAACTTTTGAATGCTGTAGAGACGACTGTGATCTGTTTCTTGTCTGACGTTTGGTGCTTGCTTTATGTCTGCTTGTGCAGGTGTATTACAGAGTGGAGTGGGCAAAGTTCCAGGAGCGAGAGAGAAAGAAGGAAGAGGAGGAGAAGGAAAAGGAGCGTGTTGCTTATGCCCAGATCGATTGGCATGACTTTGTGGTCGTGGAAACAGTGGACTTTCAGCCCAATGAGCAAGGTACTGGAGTTAAGCGTTGTAACCTCTGTGAAACTCTGCTCCCTTTGAGTAGGCACTGCCTCCTGAAATGCCGGGTTTAGACATTGGGTTTTACAGCCGCGTAGCCTTCAGAGGTGAAGGGGAAAGCCTTCTAGTGACAGTGTGCAAAGTTTTGCATGCATGAGATGCAGAATTTTTTTTTTTTTTTTTTTTTTTGCCTCCCTGGAGTCAGTAATGTGCTCCTTGCACGAAGTCCAGGACTGCACTGGTGTCTGCTTTTACACTTCCACCAGGACAGCAGAACTTGTCCCACTTTGTAGTGGTGCTTTCACCTGGAACGACCTTCATCCTCAGGTGTCGTGCTGGTGTTGGTCTGTACGGACTCCGTCCATTCCCTTCTATATGCCTTCGCTCCCAGGAGATTTTGATGCCGCTGCTTTTCACACCAGAAACTGATGTTTCTGTCTGTGCATCGAGCAACGAAATGGAATAGAGAAACGTAAGCTCTGTTTTCGTTGTAGGGAATTTCCCTCCTCCCACCACTCCGGAAGAGCTGGGAGCTCGAATCCTGATCCAGGAGCGTTATGAGAAGTTCGGGGAAAGTGAGGAGGTAGAGATGGAGGTGGAGTCAGACGAGGAAGATGAAAAGCAAGAGAAAACAGATGAGCCCCCAGCCCAGCTCGATCAAGACACACAAGTGCAGGATATGGATGAGGTAGGTAGCCAACAGAAGCAGCATTACTTTTGTCTGTGTGGTTTGTGATGCGCTTCATTGTCACTGTGAGAAGTTTCTCGCTTTCTTGAGGAAATAAGATTTCCTTCGATGGAATTTCAAATCAACCTGTTTCTGTTGGAAGGTTAGAATATGGTATTTTTAATGCTTTCCGTGACAACACAGTTTCCAAGACTGAAATCCAGTAATTTGTCACCTAATGGTGTGGATTTTACATTTCTGTGGTAAGCCCTTTGGGCTTTGTTCTGCACAGAGTCTGGAACGCTGAAAGCAGACTTGTTTTAGGCTCTTCCTCTACCCATTCTATGTAAGCTGTTTTTCCTGTAACAAGGAACAAGAGCATGGTTGGCCGTAAGCCCCTGCGTGCTGTGCCTTGGTCATGTGGAAGCTGAGGAGTACTTACTTCCTCTTCTGGGTCAACTGAATTTCTGAATCATAATTATCCGGAGGAACCGCTGTAGCATAGGTGTCCAAAGGCGAAATAGCCCTGTTGCTTTGAAGCTGCATCATCAGTTCTTCCAGCACTGCATCAGATTTTTATGCCTTTCTCAAATATTTTGTTGAGATTTGACTACAGGAATTTGGTTATGATTTTTCTGTTTTCACCTAAATAAGGGCTCAGATGATGAAGACGAAGGTCAGAAGGTTCCTCCTCCTCCAGAAACCCCGATGCCACCACCTCTTCCTCCCACACCAGATCAGGTCATTGTGCGGAAAGATTATGATCCCAAAGGTAAATTGGGCTGGTGAAGAGAAAAATTTTCTTCCTGAAATAATCACAAAAGCACTTGCTTCTGGGCTGCATCCTCTGATGGGTTTTTAACAGTGTGATTTTGTCTTCCTAGCCTCAAAACCATTACCACCCGCCCCGGCTCCAGATGAGTATCTTGTTTCCCCTATCACTGGGGAGAAGATTCCTGCCAGTAAAATGCAAGAGCACATGCGAATTGGTCTCCTGGATCCTCGATGGTTGGAGCAGCGTGATCGATCCATCCGTGAAAAGCAGAGCGATGATGAGGTCTACGCCCCAGGTCAGCTTGAGTTTGCAAAACCCAGCCACTAGATGAGTTCTGTGAGCTCTGCACAGCCCTCATTCCCCCCCAGGCCCCACTGATAAGGGCCATCTTAAATGTAGCTTTCTGTGTGATGTCCCGAGTGTGCTGATTGTGTGGATACATTTCTCGTTGGCACATTGAAGCCTTTCTGTAAACGTGAAGGCAAGAGCATTGGCTGCTGCTGACCAGCCGTCGGCTGCCGTCTCTTTCTAAAAAGAGCAGCCCTCTGCCATTAGGTACCAGACAGTTTAAAGATCGTTGAAAGAGGCTTGATCGTGTTTGACTTCGATTGTATCGCTTGAGACAAGAATTTCTCTTTTTGCCTGCAGGTTTGGATATTGAAAGCAGCTTGAAGCAGCTGGCAGAGCGCCGTACCGATATCTTCGGTGTGGAAGAGACTGCCATTGGTAAAAAGATTGGTGAAGAAGAAATCCAGAAACCGGAGGAAAAGGTAGACTAGAAACTGTGGGGTTTTTTTTTAACAGGTTCCTCTAGTATTACAAATGCTCAGAGAGGCAGGAGTCTTCTGAACTTTGTTCTTGCTCTCTGCAGCTCTTGTTGCAGTCTGGACAGGCTGGGGTTTCTCTGATTTATCTTATCCCCTCAGGTGACCTGGGATGGCCACTCGGGCAGCATGGCCCGCACACAACAGGCTGCTCAGGCCAACATTACTCTCCAAGAGCAAATTGAAGCTATCCATAAGGCCAAGGGACTGGTGCCAGAGGATGACAGCAAGGAGAAGATCGGTCCCAGCAAACCCAATGAAATTCCGCAGCCACCCCCTCCTTCATCGGCATCAAATCCCCCAGCTAGCGCCCAGCCCATCACATCTGTGCCTCGTCCACCCGCGGTGAGTGTTTGGGCTTCCAACAGCAGATTGCTGTGGCCGTAGCTAATTAGCAGGGAGTCCTGACGAAGGTCAAGGGTTGTGACATCAGGGTGCTGGCTTGGAGGCAGATTTGGAGTGAAGTTCATGTTTCCAAATGACTCTCAAACTATTAGAGGAACCCTGCGGAACTTGCTGTCAGCAGTGGAAAATAAGACCTAGGTGGAGCTTTTTGTCCTCAGAGGTGTCAAAAAGGCTTGATCATTTGGGCAGGGGAAGAGCCTGGGCAGTTAGGTCTCGGAGGCAGGGAGTATGGCTGCCAGAGGAGTGGGTGGGGGCCCTTTTTTAGGTGTAAGAAGGCATGATGCGGAACAAAAGTAGCTCCTGGTAAGAAAGAATGACAGGTGACTGGCTGCCCAGCATTCCT